AAACTCAAAACATTAAGTGCAACAGCTCTACCAGATACAAGTGATTCTAATATTTTAAGTGTTGATTTAGATGTTTATGTTAACAATTTATTACTAAGTACAGAAAGTGTAAAAACAACTAAAATGAAACATATTGTTCCTTGGCAAATTGCTCTCTTTTTATTGAAAATAATAACCAACACAAACACAATAAAATCTGAGGGAAACATAAACAATGTAGAAACTGATCTTAACGAAATTTCAATCCAAATTAACGCTTTACGGAAAATTTGGAACGATCAAGTTAACTTTAAAAGACGCTAACAACAACTATACAGAAGAAAAAATAACACTAACTAGTTTTGTTGACATTTTAAAAAACGCTTTTGGTAATATTGCTACAAAACTTCTCTACATCTCTCCATCGGCGACAGGTATAGAACCTACATAATTGTTGCTTGCTTTTATCAAATCTTTTTTCCAAAAACAAGTCAAAGAAAATATTATCGATTTACTTTACAAAACATACCGCTAGCTTCTTTATCTATACCTTTTTTTAACGTCGACCAAATCATATGGCCTGAACGCGAATTAAAAATGATGGATATTTTTACAGAAAGTATAAATTACAACTTGCCAAACAATTTACTTAATTTAAAGTTAAATAATCTTACTTTTAACGAATTTATTTACGAAGGTACTAATATCTACTCTTATCAAAAATTCCTCAATCAATTCAATTTTTTATCTATTCCTAACGATTCTTATAAAAACTATTATACTTATTGGTGTTTACCTTTATTTGAATGAAATACACACGAAATCAATTTGAAATCGCCATTACAAATTTCTAAATCTATAATCGCTTCAACAAATACATATAACAATTATTTTGAAATGAAAGGAAACCAAATTTCACCGTATCATGCTCAATTTGGTTCACTCAACGCTTTTACTACATCTCCTTCTAATTTACCTGAAGACATTTATAAAATAATAACGGCAGATTGGTCATTGATTGCTAAATACAATTCAGAAACATTTATCGAAGTTTTGATGTATTGTGAACAAACTAAATCTATTTTTTCTCCAACTTTAAAAGTACCTCTTGTTACTACGGCATCTTTTGAAAGAGCTACTACACCTCGTTATAAAACGTGGTTAAACGGATCAAAATCTATATTGCAAGGTAACAACATTAACGAATTGGTATTTTATTGCACTTCGCTCAACGGTCAACTTATATATCAAAAAAAAAGTGACGGTACAATCATAAATTCTTGGTCTAATAGTTTACCATTAAAAAATGTTATTTTAAAAATGTATCAACCCATTGGAAACAATATTGTACCTTATACATTGCCATTGCAAAGAGATCAACACAGTTTGACAAACGAAATAAATCAGTTTAATATAGAAATAGATCAAAATATGGTTTACACCATGGCTCAAGATTTTAAAATTCTAAAAAGAAAACTCGCATCAAAGTATACAAATTTGCATCAAAGTATATCTTTTTAAGATATACTTTGATGCAAATAAGTAAGTTTAATAATTCTGCATCTAATTTTCCTATTTCTACCGATAACCTAATATTTATTGAATGCGATCAAGTTACCATTTGTGGAATGTACATGAACAGAAGATACGAAACGGGTATTGTTTCTTATTTTAATTTGTCAGATTATAACAATGCTACTCAAGTAACAGTCAATATCGATTTTACTAAAAATCGCAAAACAGAAAGACAAGGACAATTAACAACGTTTGATATTGTTGACGTAGAAGATTGAAAAAAAACCAAATGGTCTTTTTTGAACACTAATAAAGAACCGCCTAAATTTAACAATTTAAGTTCTACTGTTTTTTTTAATCCTATTTTGAAAGTTCAAATGGTACCATTTTACAATTAACTTTTTTTTTTGTAAACTTTAATAAAAAAAAACAATTTACCGGAATAAAAATAATGATCCGGACCTTTTACATTTATATAAAATAAAGTGTTTTAATTTAATTAATATAAATTTTGTTATAAAAAGATGTCTTTTTTTTTTATTTAAAAATTTTTTTTTTTTAAAATGTCTCTTTTTCGAGCAAGAGAAAGATTTGAAAAAAATTTAATAAACGAGAAAATACCTGAGTTAATGAACCCACAAAATAGTGAAATCAATGAAATTCAAAGCAAATATTATAATCTTCAAAATCAAATGTCTCATTTTTCAACTAAAGCCGACGTTCTTCGCGTCAAATCAGAATTGGATGAAAAATGCGAACAATTAAAAAAATTAAAACAACATTACCAACAACAACAACAACAAAATATGCAAAACACTTACAAATAAAAATCTCAACATAGAAAAAATGTTATTTAAAAAAAACGAAACTGAAAAACCAAAACGTAAGAAAGTAAAATATTCAGAAGTAGAAAGTGAAAGTTCTGAAGAAGATTATGTTGAAAAAAAATTATCAAAAAAAATAGTCACGTTAACTTCACACGTTTGCGCGCAATGTTTTTAAGAAGTTAAAGCTGTAGACGCTATTCACGGTTTGTGCAGAAACTGTATTATACAGCAAAAAGCTATTTTATTCAGTCCTTTTATGCAAAATAACATTGAAAAAAAAAAAGCAGAAAAAATTTTAATAAAAAAAGTTTAATTGAGCTTAGTTAGACGCTTGCTTTAAAAGACGTTAAAAACAAAAAAATACCATTTTAAAAAAATACTTCTGACTCGGAAGATGAATAAATAGAATTAAAAAAAATATTATAATAAAAATTTTATTCTTAATTATTTTATTTTTCAAAGAAAAAAAAATTATATCAAGATGGGTTCTTTGGCAAAATATATGAGAGCGGGTGACGGTAACCGTTATACGCCTAACCATAACGGTCCCGTTACCATTGGTTAGCAGACGTTAACATAACTCCAAAGTAGGTTGATGTTTTCGGTGGCCGTTAACTTTTTTATTTGTTCGAGTTAATCCAAAACAGCAAATAATTGCACAAGGAATGTAATACTAATTACTAAGGAATATTATTAAAGCAAACAAAAACAAAGATTATGGATTTACCTATGTATGGAAAATTTGAACTTCAGCAGTTCTGATGAAATAAGCGCTGATGAAGAAAGCGGAAACATAAAAGGTAATTTAATATATAAACATTTTCAGTTTAATAAATGCAAAACTTATTTGATTTTTTTTTGTTTATAACAATGTTATAAACAAAATAAATGCAATAAATAATTATATAGTTATTAACATATTTTTTAATTTAGAAGTCTATGAACAAAGTTTGAGTATCATTGAAAATAATTGTTTACCTACACGTGATATTGTTTATGGTATGTTTTTATTCACTGTTACCATACAAAAACTGCCAGTTTTTTTCTTATTTCTTTTATAGGAAAAATTAAAGAAAAAATGGTGTCAGTAGCATATATATGTCATTTAAATAGACAACACAAGAACAATCAAAACAAAAAATTGTCGTCATATAGAATTTTTTTTTTGCAATTATTTGTGATTTAAAATTATTATCTGAAGTTTAAAATTAGTTACTTTTTTGTAAGATAAACTAAGTTTTTTTAGCAGTTAACAGTTAATTGACAGTACATTAAGTGCTAAGTCTAGTACTTTAATATAGGCTTTTTTTTAAGCCTAAAAAGTTCTTTACTCATTTTTTATTTAAAATTCTTTATTTAAAGTTCTTGAACACATTTATTAAACTTTTTTCTAATGATATCACAAAACTTTATACAAAGGTTTGTGATATTATTTAGTGTGCCTTTTTTTTGTTGTTGTAAGAAATATTCAAAATAGTTTTTATAGTCTATTTTCATATTCACTGAAAGTATACTGATCAATTTGATTTTAATTTTTATAGAAGGAAAAAAAAATTAATTTATCATTGTAATTCGCATGAAGAAGCATTAAACTGTGTGAAAAAATATGAGTTAGCAACTACAACAAGATTTGTTGTCTATAGTGTAACTAAGGACTTTGGAATAACAGGTAAACTATAGTTTGTAGTGACCTAGTTTTGAAAAAAAATCATTTTGCGTTACACAAATATTTTCAATGTAAAAGCAATGATTTCGTGACATGTTTTTTTTATTAACATAAAATTACTTGGCTTAAATATGAAAATAGTTTCTTTAAATGCAAGATTAACTTTATCATAACTAAAAATATTAAAAATGAATATCATTCTCATTTCGTCATTTGTTTTTAATTTATTTAATGTTTCTAGAAATCCTTAGAGTTCATAACATATTTAATGGCTTTCATGAAATAAATTGTGCTGAATAAATATATGCCAAAGTTAGCATCATATATCTATAATACAGAAGAAAACGTTTTATTATATATATATATATATATATATATATATATATATATATATATATATATATATATATATATATAATAATATACTTTTTTATAATAAACTTGTTTGTGTTGCTTTTAAATAATTTTTTAATAAGTTTAGTCACATTCCAAAAACTATATATATTTTTTTATAGAAATGATTGCAAAAAATCATAATGTTTTATGGGAAGATTATGCCAATCAGTATTCAGGCGTACCTCATATGGTTGTTGGTCACAAAATTTTAGATTGTCATCATGGTTTTGATAGGAATATTTCAGCGAAAAATAGTTATAAAAAAAATAAAAAAAATGCCAAGGTAAAGTTATCACTTTTATCTTTCATACTCAATTAAATTTTTTTTTTCTTGTTTCTCTAATACCATAGAGTTTGAAAAAAAACAAAAGAAAAACATCACGGTTTTAAACAAATAAACAACATTCCAAAAGTGGAGCCTATTAAATAAAAGTCTTCTTTTATCATTTGTTTCTTTTAGATGGATGATCACAGCTTTCAAAAAAATTATGTGATTCTGCAAGATACAAAAAAGTTTATGTGTCCTGCAAAGATAGTTATGAGAGAAATATTACAATTTCCTGATTTCAAGGTTTGAGTAACTAAATTATAGGTAACATGCCTTTTTTAATTTTGAAATGTATGGTGATGTGACATAAAGCAGCCCTGAATTGGGTTTAAGGGTCCCCTAAGGTTAGTAGAAAGATGTATCATTCTTAAAGTATGTCTTTATTGAAACAGGATTAAGTTTTAGGTGTCTCACTCAACTTTCTTGACTAAGTCCCTCTATAAACCCAGTTTAGTCCTTATTGTTTTTGTATTATTGTTTTAATTTAGATACATAAGCATTCAGCTTGGCACACAAAAAAAGCATCAAAACTATTGAAAGAAAAATTAAAATTGTCATGTTTAAATGAAGTACCTTATATTCGGAAAGTTGTTGTAGCTATTGATGATTTATCATGTCATGATAAACACAATTTTTGTATATACTTTGTACTTGCAAAAAGGTTAAAAACAGTACTGTAGTTTATTAATTAATTTACCATATTAAATATTATTTTAAATTAGGTAGAACTAATTTCTCAAATAATCAATCCTCAAATTTCAAAAAAGATTGAAGAATATGTTATAGAAGGAATATACAATATAAGGGAAATGAAGCGCCTCCTTCGTTTGACAGTAAAAGATACTTTCGGAAATGAAAATCTTCCTCTTTCAAATAGCAGAAGATTCTATCCCAACTCTGCAACCATAAGATCACATATAGTAAAAATTAAAAAAAAGTTACGGTAAATCACAAATGTTGATTATTTCTTAGAATAAATTACACATATGAAATGATTTGTTTTACTAATTTAGATGTTTACTTGATTCATGTTTAAAGTAATCTTTAAAACTTTCATTTTGTTAATGTTGTTGTTTCTATTTATAAAGGCATTCCATGATTGACCAAGAATGTCTTTTGATAAAATGTGAAGAATGGAAAAAATGTTATCCGTCTGTCAAAGTGTTTCTTAGACCAAACTGTAGCGGCGAAGATGGTGGTGATAAATGTTCATTTTTATTTGTTTATCAGTCACAGTGGCAACAACACCTTCTCATGCGCTATGGAACTGAGATACTGCTACTTGATGCCACATACAGGACTACCAGATATTCTCTTCCTCTCTTCTTTTTAACTGTACAAACTAATTTTGACTACCAAATAGTAGCCAGTTTTGTTATGAATGTGAAACAAAACAAGCCATCACAGAAGCGCTTCTCATAATAAAAGATTGGAACCCATCCTTTCAACCTTCCTTTTGCATGACTGATTATTGTACTGAAGAAATGGATTCATTAGAAGCTGTTTTTCCAGGTATAAAAATAATTTTTTAATAATTTTCATTTGTTAATAAATAGTATGACAGTTTAAATATACATTTGAAAGTAAATAATGTAATAAATAAAATAAATAATGTAAACCATTTAATATAATATTTTGAACCGTTTCCTGTTGTCATTTTTTAGTTCACTTGAAACTCTTTTTTTTCATTGTGTAGCTCATCTGTATTCGTTTTATCTTATTTTAAAATATAGAGAATTATTTTTAGGTTGCCGTGTTCTTATATGTGATTTCCATAAAGAGCAGGCATGGCATCGCTGGATTGTCAAAAAAACAAACATTTGCTCAGAATTTAAAGACCCAATAATTTCAATGCTACGAAATATTGCATAGGCACAAAATGAAAAGATAACAGATGCAGCAATAGTTAGCTAAAATGTTCCAACTTTTGGTTGGACAACAAATTTCATAAATTTAAGAAATATATTACTAATTATTGGTTACAAATTAAAGAAGTAAGTATATATTTAACATTATAATTATTATCCCAAATTTAACATTATTTAACATTTTTTGCTATACATAACACAAGTATTGCAAATTTTAAAGCATTAGTTTATGGTTAAAACAAGTTTCTTAACTTAACTCATGTCTTAATGTCTTAATGTCTTAATGTCTTCATAACTTATACTCATGTCAATGTAAATCTGCAAAAACAAGTGTTATTATTTTTATCTAGAAATGGATATGGGGGTATCGTCAGGATCGATTTTTAGTAAACATTAAAACCAACAATGGAATTGAAAGGCAACATGAATCTTTTAAATATTCTTATCTTCAAAGACATAAAAATTCATCAATTACCGGAATGCTTACTCTTTTAATAGAAGAGTTTTTTGCAGATAAATTTGAGAAGTATATTAAAAAGTTTTAATGTAGCCTGATTTGAAGGAGTTTATTAATTTTTTTTTTTTGTGTTTATATATAAATATATTTATATGTGTATATATATATATATATATATATATATATATATATATATATATATATATATATATATATATATATATATATATATATATAATTATATATATATATATATATATACATATATATATATATATATATATATATATATATATATATATATATATATATAAATATATATATTTTTTTATAATTTTTAAAATTAATTAAGATATATATATATATATATATATATATATATATATATATATATATATATATATATATATATATATATATATATATATATATTTATAATTTTTAAAATTGACTAAGATATATATATATATATATATATATACATATATATATATATATATATATATATATATATATATATATATATATATATATATATATATATATATATATATATATATATATATATATATATATATATATGTATATATATATATATATATATATATATTAGTTAATTTATTTTTTTCTTATTTTTAAAGATATTCAGAATCTAATTACAAAATGGATTGTTGATTTAAACAATACAATTTTAATGTACCTGAGTACTTGATAAATAGGCCACACCATTTTATTAAACATTGTTTAGCGAAGCAAAATTTGGCTAACAACACTGATCTAAATAAAGTGCAAATGAAAGATCCTGGAGTATTTGTAGTCAATATCTTTTCTATTGCAAACAAAAATTATCTTGTTAACTTTGGCGATGAGAAGAACATGGCAAAATGTTAATGTAATGATTGGTTTAAATCTTCCTATCTATGCAAACACTTTTTTATAATTTTTAGAAAGTAGCCACTAACATGGGGATGGGAGTCTATATCGTCTTTATATAGAAGTTCTCCATTTTTAAATATTGACACATTCACTAATGATTTTGTATTAAGTAAATCAAATATAATCAAGTGTAACCATGTGAATCATAATAGTTTCAACTTAATTAATGACACTATTTGCAGTACAACAACGATAAATCTATACAAATATAGTACAAGAAAAAGAAGTTCTACAGCCTCTGAAGTCCGCGAAATGCTAGCAACCATAAAATATGTAACATTTGATTTTGATGAATCATCAGAAGAACTATCTGATCTACATGAAACACTTTCAAATGTACTTAAAAAGCTTTATCAAGCAAGAAAAAAAAAAAAAGGTCTACCATTAAGCTCAGGTTATGGTATGCATGAATATGTACACAAAAAACAAAAAAATATAGTTGATTTACCTGTTGTTAAAAAAAATTGTATTCCAATCGTGTGTGAAAAAAAAGACAATTTGATGGTAGCCTCTGTAATAAAAATTAAAAGTAATTTCAATGAAGCACCAGTCCAGGAATCAATTATTACTGAAGATCAAATAACTGGTAAAGAAACTTTTCAAACAAATTCTTTTACAAATAATTATTTAGGAAAATCAGTTTTATTTGAAAGAAATTATTCTTTACTTTCACAAGAAGATTTTGAAGACATTTCGAAAAATGGAATGTTATCTGATACAGTTATTAAATGTTTTCAAGATATATTAAAGAAAGTTAACCCTTATGCAAATGGAACATCAAACTTTAATAATTGTCCCAATATGGGATCAAGATCCCATATTGGGACAATTATTAAAGTTTGATGTTATTGGTTCTTTACCATTTGTACAAATTATATATAATGGGGATTACCATTGGCTTGCCATCAGTACATATGGTTGTTTATATGGTGAAATAAATGTGCTTGATAATAACTTTCATGGGTGTTTAAGCCTTAAAACACAAAAACAAATATGTGCCCTTTAAAAGTACAAAAAAGATGAGATTACAGTAAAAGTGCTTTCAGTACAGCAACAAAATGGTGGTATTGATTGTGGTTTGTTTTCAATAGCCTTTATTGAATTTATTTTATCACAAAACAGGTATCCTATAGAAGATATTTGGTTTGATCAAACAAAGTTAAGAAATCATGCCCTTTCCTGTTTAATAAATAATTTAATAACTCTTTTTCCACTTACAAATAGTGCAAGCCGTAGATGCTCTCCAAAGGAATTTAAATTAAAACTGCACTGTTCTTGCAGAATGATTTGGATTCCATCAGATAGAACAATATGTGGAAGGTTTTGTATTGCATGTTTTATGTTTGCTATGGAGTGTACATATAATGCCTGGCTAGTAAGTGACCGGGTCCCCGGCCCCGGCTAAAAACAGATGGTTTTGCAAACCTGGCCCCGGCTAAACAAACAAAATTTGCAGGGGTTACTAGCCGGGGCTAACAAAAATAAATCAACTATTTTCTAGTATTTATCAATTTTTTTTTGTGGTAATTGGAGTTTGGGAACAAAAAACCTCTAATGGGCCTACCCAGCCAATGTGGGAACAATGAGTTAGTAAAATATTTTCTTTACTATTTTTATCTAAATTTATATCCATTAACAAATTTCAAATTTCATGCAATAACATCTTTTTATGACCCTGCAAAGTTTACAGCCCCCTCAAATTATGGGCGGTTAAAACTTTATATAGTTATAATTTTAGAAAAATGAGAGATTATTGCATGATGAAATTAAAATAGTAGAGAAAATATTTTATAAACTCATTGCTCTCACGTTAGGACTGGGTAGGCCCCAAAAATTAAATTTTTTTTGTTTCCAAGCTCCAATCAACGCAATTCTTTGCAAAACATTCTCATTTGACGTAGGCATGAATATGAAAAAGTTTGTAGTTTGCACAATGCCTTGTAAGTGTCAAAGCTCATACATCTAAAAATCCAATAAAAATCTGTAACTATATATATGTGTGTGTATGTGTATGTGTGTGTGTGTGTATGTGTGTGTGTGTATTAATGCCCAGTGAATCTGCATTTTTAGTTTCGAATCAATCAGGTCTTGATTTACATTATTTGTAAGCATACTGCTTTCAAATAACCTTTACAAATTATTCTGATATTATTCTGATTTCAAATAACAATTACTTTCAATTACAATTACTTTACTCTGGGTGAGATACATAAATACATTTTGATAGAATTTACAGAGTTTAATATCTGAAAAAAAGATAACATCCACAAAATAAATAGTGATTCAAAAAACCTGAATATTTTTTTTCGAATCTAAGCAATCTTGATTTGCGAATATATCAGAAATATTGAGTGCTGTCGGGAATAAGAGAGACAGGCATTAGTATACTAGTTAGGATAAAAAAAGATTATACACAAAAAATGAAAACTTATTTAAAAGGCTCATTCTTATTTGTAGACAAATGGCTCAATGTTATACTTGTAACCATTGGTTTCATAAGGAATGCGAAAAAATCAACAATATTTCTTTTGAAAACAAAGATAAATTTTGGAAATGTCAAGATTGCTACAACTTGGTAAGAAACTAATGATTGTTATATAAATTATTAATAGCTGCTGATTAATTAATAATAACTAATGCAACTAGCCTTATATATATGTAAACGAAGATCAAAATGAAAGGTTAGTGTACCTGGCCACAAAAATTTACAATTTGTCAAAAACTTGAAAACCTCAATTTTTATTCCTTCTAAATATTTTCCCGAACAGAAGTGACTGTTTTTTTGTGTTACAATAACTACTTGATACAGATAATGTTTTTGTAGTCACAGTCAACACAAAATCTGAAGTTGTCTGTTGTGCAATAAACAATGCTATTATTTATTATATATGTGTTTCCTTTTTGTTCTAATTATTAGAACAGACATATAAATAATAAATAATATAAAAAATAAGTATGTATATTGAAGTTAAGTAATAATTAGAACAAATCCATATACTATAACATATACTAACTAAACTAGTATTTGTATTTGTTATATTTATTACTTGACTTCAATTTATATACTTATTTTTTATTTCTTTTGGTTTTTCAGTTAAATTTTCCTGAACTATTTTTACA